TTTTTTTTAAGAAATTACAACAAAATCGATAATAACAGAATATTGCGTCAATAACTGTCAATGTTCTTCTCGCGTTATCTCCGCCGGGTCGTCGCGATGGATTATTCGAAAAAACTACGCGAAAAATCAAAGAAACGTCCTGCTAAGTGCACCGACTGCACGTGATTCGCCGGCGCGCTCGTAAAATCGACGATCCAGCCCGAGTCGGGGAAAACGGACGGAAAAACGCACCGTGGCAACATACTCGCCCGGCATCCATTCCACAACGGTACAACGCGGTTCGCGAAAATAACATTGTATCGTCGTGGGACGTGATTTGTTTTTTTTTTTTTTCGTTTCTGGGAAAATATCAAACAGCGCGCTTTTTAACCGCGGACCGCCCACCCCGCTCAAACCCGCGAACGCCGAACGCGTACGTTCGCGTACGCATTGTACGCGCCGCGCAGCGCGGGCAACTTTTCACGGTACAATACAAATACGCATTGTTAATACGTAGCGTGCACATGCGCAGTGCGGCGACGGCCATCAATCTCAATCCGCGAACAAGAGAGACGGGGAAATTAACAATATATATTTATACGTGCGTCGTAAAATATTTAATGGCGGACCCGGTGTTTTAAGCGTCGTAGTCGCCGTCGTCCTCGTATAATGTACGGCGCGCGTAACAATACGCACAACATTCGTCCGTATAATAATGTAATAATAATAATAATAATAATAACAACAATAATAATAATAATATAGAACAATATTGGCACAGTGTGAGCCGCGCGCGGAAAACGGGTGCGCGCCAGCGTAATAAAGTCGGTTCGGTGTGTACGCGGTGTCGACACGCCGCGCGATTACGGTGCGGAAGGGCGCGCGTCCCTAGGCAGGGTGGGTGGCGGCCGGTGGGAATCCCGTCGTCGTCGCTCCGCCGCCGCCGGTCGGCCCGGGCCTAATAAAACGCGTAATGATCCTGTCGCCGCGGCCGCTCCTCTCTCGAAAAATCGTACCTACACGCTCCTCGTCCGCCACCGCGGTGGGGCTGACGGGGCTCCGGGATCACTGTCGCAACCGCTGTCGCCGTCGGCCTTGTCAATTAAAAAACCATAAACGAATAATATAAAAACCGTTCGGCCGCAAAAACTAATATTGCCAATGGAACGATAATCACACTGGGCGACGCGCATTGTCGCACTTACTCGACTAAAGTACGAACCGTAAGTGTACTGCGCAATATTATTGTGTACTCGTGTTTTTTTTCAAAATAATCTCGAGAAAGAGGCTCGGTAAATACGGATAACATAATATTTCGCTTGCATTTTAGATTCCGAGCGTACCGAATGAGCTATCGGTTTTACAATGCTGTTTTCTTTCTTTTTTTTTCTTTTTTTTTCATAGTCTGTGGACACGTTTTTTCCTAGTGTAACTTGTTCCGATTTTCACGTGTAGCAGCAACTTTTTTGAAAGGTCGAGTTGTCGAAATTGTACTTTAGAGAGGTCGTTTTTTTTTTTTTTTTTTTTGATTTTTGACGCCCATTTTTTTAATAAAAGCTCTTAAGTGGGGGAAAAAAGTAGTAAAACGTACAAGTTCACGGTTTCGTTCATTTATAAAAACACGGACGACGTTTTCTACCAGAAAAAATGATTTAATCGAAAATTCGCAAGATACCTTTTTTGTTGTATTTTTAATTTACTTTCTTGCGGTATCGTCGCCATAACTTTTGAGTGTTTAAGGAATTTTAATTTTTGGGAGTTTTTTGCTGTAATTCGGTTATAAATACACGTAACGATACTTACATTGGACTTACCTAGACGTGGTAAAATCATCAAAATCATCGGACGACTTTCTTTTTTTCAATAAGCGTTTTGAAATAAAATGTATACGAAAATCGCAAAAAAAAATTACGGCACTTCAAATTATGTAGGTATTACCGAACTGAACTCGGAATCGTCTTTCGTCAAGCAATTTATCGTTGGTATCGTTGCTTACATATATAAATGGAATAACCTTATGTATCCTATCTTCCCAACTTCTCACCTACAACAGTGACCGCCCCCATCCCTAGTATCAGCTCTTTCTTATTGACGAATAATTATAATAGGTTGATACAGCTGTTGCAATAGATGTGTTGTAATTTGGAAGTCTGATTGATCAGTCAATTATTATATGAGAATCGAATATGAGGAGTTTTTTAAATTTGTATGGGACTACTATATAGGACTGTACTGGAACTATATCTATTCGAGCTAAACAAAAATTGTAAAAAATTATGCATATTCCACGGAGTTGCATAAATAAAACATATTTAAAAAATCAAGATCGCATTGAATACATCATTTCTTCCTCCACTTGAAAATCAATATTTTCTTTCTCTAATCTTTTCAGTGAATAGACACTCCTAAGGCACATCCGTAAGTCAAAGCTTTTTTTTTTATTCCGTATCCCTTTCCCACAGAACGAAACATCGATACAAATCAATATTTAAAAAAACAATGACTTGACCTGTCAGTGTACAATAATTCTAAAGTACTCGGCAATTAATAGGTCCATGAGTTATTATCGAAAACGCACCATGTTACCTACATGTACAAGAATACATTATACAGTGATGTCACAACTCAAAAAATGTAATTTCTGAGTTAACCTTAAAAAAATATAAATGATTACAATTTAAATGTTTTCAAGTTATATTATGTAGAATACACAAGGTTATAAGGTGATTTACCGACCTATGCATTATCGAAATATCGGTATACTAAAACAAGTGATTTATATTTAACATTTTAACATATAAGTATCAACCAAAAAAATTTAACATTTTTGTGTTATGTCACTCGTAATTTTATATTCTTGTCAACGTGGACGAATGTTATAACGATGACGGGTAAGTACAATATATCTATATAATATCACAATTAATTTTCGTTTTGCAAAAGTAAAATTACGAAATCTTACAATAAAATTATCGTTATCGTTAGAAATCCAAGTTATTGTAAAAATAAACGACTGAGTATAAAAAAAAAAACATTAACTAAAAATCAGTCAACAAAACTGTAACCTCCGTAGTACCTCTGTTTGACGATCGGTCCGTATATATATTATAATACAGGTTAAAGATATCCTTTCCGAAAAAACCATTCTGTTCGATGTGCACTCACTGGTAACCTATGGATCATATTGTGAATCTAGGGTATTTATTCCAATCGAGTTTTGAAATTTCCAACATAGTGTTTAAGCCGTGAGTGAATGTTAATAAAAATCCCACTCGCGGGAAAGAGTTAAGAGGAGATATTCGTTTATAAAATACCATGTCACAATAGCGCAATATTACAATAGTATAAACTGGCTAAAAGTTGAACCAGTACACCAATGTGATAGTACGGTGTGTCGGTGTATACAAACTGACCTAAAATCTTAAACTCGTTGGTTTTTGAACGTAAGTCTGTATTTTCTGTATTTGCTTAGAAAAAATGTTTAAGTAAATAATGTTTAATATTATGTATTTACAATAATAATATTGTTATCACGAGTAAAAAAAAAAAAAAAAAACAGAAATAGGTGTCTTATTATAGGACTCGCCGCAAGAATCTTATTGTACTCGCATAATTTTACAGAACAATAATTTGTTCCGTCTGTAGTTTATTTTAGTTCGTGTGTACTTACATTTATTACTACGATCTGTAAAACAGTATAAATTGGTTACAATATACGTCGTAAACGCGTTATAAAAAAAAAATATAGAAAAAAATATATAAAAAAAAAACACAATATATTTTAACGACCGTATCGGATACCAGACGGAATGTTCGAATAGATTACGAAAACACCTATATATTAAGATATTAGACAATGGTGGGTATAAACTAGTAAAAAATAAATACATTTTATTTCACTATTTTAAGTTGACTAATTTTTTTTTTTTTTTTTATATCGGTAGTCGATTCATTTAACCAGACTAAGTTTTTTCGTTGTATAAACATAACATTGTATGTTTAATTTTCATAAACATAATGCGCTATAGTTAAATTATAACGATTTGAAGACTTAACGATTTCTTTTTTAAAATCCGAAAATCTATTTTTAATTAGCTTTTCTTAGTAATGTGATTTTTGTGTTGCTATTTACCGTGATAGTAAATTTTTGATTTAGTTTGTCCTTACCTACTGAGATTATATCGGTTCTTCACAGTGCAAAACTATAAAGAACTCAAGATACCTCCGATGGAATTTCTGTATAAATAATTTGCCGTACATGTGGCAAATATATTATAATATATATTTTGTAATGCGAATATTAAATGCATTGCATTAGTGCAATTTATTATGACGCATTACGATATCCGATAATTTTCAAAACAAGAAACACATTTCAATTTTTTGTCTCGTGAAATAACGCACACAACTATACAAGCATAACTATGTGGGGAAACTAGTTTTTATTTAAATGAAAACGCATAAATATAATATAATAGCCATTACTTATTATTTAATGTTTCAGATTTTGAGCGCGGACAGAGGAATGTATTGGTTTTACAATGATGTTAATATTTTTTATTTTTATGAACACTTCTGCTAGAAAGATTACTCCGATTAAGTATATATTCTAAAAAGAAAATATGTTCTCTGGGTTGTGGTACTTTAAAGAGATTATTTTTTGAAAATCTCATAAATATTTGAGATAATGGAGGAAAACCTGGTTCTTGAGGTTAAAAAAAAATTGAAAGATAAAAACTAAGGTTGTCATTGGTAATCGTTTTTATTTATTTGTGTTATAATTAAGTTTTTATTATTTTAAAATCTTTTTTAAAGAATCATTGTTGTTGTGGAAACGTACATTTTTGTAATCAATTCTATCATAATATGACAAACATATTGTTGACAAAGCTACACTATCAACTCAACTCCGCTCAGAATCGTTTTTTCGTTAACAGTGGTTTATCGTTGCTTACAGATATATCGGGATCGCAATTGGAGGACAAAATGTTTCAACGATAAGATTTGCAGATGATATCGCGATGACAGCAGAGAGCGAAAGTGACATACAGCGTACAGTGGATGAAATGACTGAAATGCTCAGAATACCAGGAATGAAAATAAATAGCAAAAAAACGGAGATTTTAGTATATGCTAAAGACCCAAAAAATAAAAGCCGAAGTATACATAGATAGTAAATAATTATAGCATGTATGGTGTATCTGGAGAACAAAATAACATAAGACGCTAAGAGCACCAGAGAAATCAAACAGTGTATAGCATTGGTAAAAATTTTCTTCAGCAAGAAACACAAACCATTCACGTCGAAAAAGTTACAGCTCAATGTCGAAAAGAGGCACATTAAAACGTATGTATGGAATGTTTCAGTTAATGGAAGTGAGACGTGGATCATAAACAATGCTGAAAAGAAAAACTGGAAACTTCTGAAAAATTGTGTGCTGGAAGCGTATTGAAGGGATAAGTTGGACGGAGAGAAAAACAATTAAAGAAGTACTGAGAACTGTAAAGGAAGTACGGACGTTCATAGATGCGACGTTTTAATCGTCGTGCTTTAACGGCGATGGAAAATGATTGTACATGCCCCGAAACACCCTGAAGAACTGCATAATCATAGAGGGAAAGAAAACAGCAGGACGCCCTCGAAACTTTTATATAGGACAAATAAAAAATGACGCAAGGGTAAAAATGTTTAGGGAAATCAAGGAAAAAGCGAGCAATCGATCAGAATAGAGAATGGGAGTTGTGGACCGACCATAGGGTTGATAGAAAAAAAAACAAAAACAGATATACATTAAATTCCCGTCTGTTTTTACCCAAGTTCGTAAGTTGACACGATTTTACTTTTTTACCGTTTTAACTATATTGGTTCGTTTGTTTTACGTACTTTCGACAGAACCCTTTTTTGTTTATGTTTCGGCCGAGAAAATTGTCTCCCTTGGCTTTGACCCGCCATCGAGTTATTATGTATGTCAACATTGACTGTGGGATATACTTTACACGGGACGTAAGTACGATTGTAGATTTAGCCCTTATATGTTATTTGACCGTATTATATTGACCGCGCGTATCGCACTCCCTCGCGCTCGACCTTTAAAAAATAAAAGACAAAAAAAAAAAAAAAACAAATCAGCCGGTTTCGATTAACACCGCAACAACCCGCACTGCACCTTTAACAGCTGCCCTGCAATCCCGCGGCAATGACTCATCGCCCGGCACGACGAATTAAAAACAGCTATACCACTTACGGAGCGTGTTGTTTCGCAGGTGGCTTTTAACAAATGATTACGGCGTTACGTGTTGCCTACGTTTAATCGCGTCGTTAGATTTTACGTTGATTAAACCGTTCGCGTTCGCCGTGCGTTATTATTGTACGGCCGTCGCATCACCTATAATAATGAAATAAAAGGCGTTCGTATTAATAACAACAATGGCGCGATACTTATGGTCGAAAACGGATTTCAACGTGATTAATGCGCATTATAGTGCGCATATCGTGTTAATACGGTCGGACCACATTGATTAATAACCGTATACAGTGATTATAATACGCGCGCGCGCGCGTACAAATAGACAAATGTTAAGTTTGATTTTCCACCGATCCCTATTGTACGACAACAATGATAACGTTACAATTACTCCGGTCTTGTATCCATTCGGTCCCGGCCAAAAACAAAGCCTCGAGTCGATTTTTAATTTTTTCTTATTGTAATTACGCCCCCCCCCCCTCTCCTTCATTTATTTTTTTTTTTTGGTCTAAATATTTCGGGACGCGTTAACAAAAACAGACGAAGAGGTGCGATTAAAAATTTGCCGACTCCATTTATCAAACTTATTGACGTCAATAAAAGTCGTCGTCGATCAATATTAGTCCTTTGATAATGTTGCCGATATTAACGTACGGGTAACGGTAATCAGTAATTACTAATCGAAATAATAAAATAACAAAAAAGAGACTGAGAAATTATCGTGTCATTACTTTTTCAATGTAAACAATTACATTTTATAATCTTGAATATCTACCGTCTAATTCGAGTAAATTTAAAATTGAAATGATACCCTTGATTGATATTATTATAATGGCTTTAGTGTTTAGCATGAGTAAAAATTCCGAAAGTTTAATTTGAAGGGTACATTTAGTTGTTAACGCGAACATAATTTGAACAAATTTCATGATCACACAATAATTAATACTTTAAACCCGAGGTATCTGAACCGTTTTCAAATTTATAATACAAAAGTGAGTTTAAATATATTTTTAAGTCGATAAAAAACCATAATATTTTTTTAAGTATTCGTCAAAATTGCCTATACGGAACCCCTTAAATATTATCGGCGTGTGGCCTTCTATTTTATAAGTAATCTCATTGAAAGTCGTAAAACACGATTTAGAAACAAGAAATAATATATACAAATTAATTGATCGTCATTTGGTTAACTGCACGCGATAACACGGTTGTAATCAATTAACGAACAACAATATCGCATTTTAAATGGCAACTCTCGAAATTTTAAAAAAAATTCGATTATTATCGGTATTAATGAAACGAACGTTTTCGAAAAATGTCTTATTCTATATTATGTTATTTTCGCTATTGAATTCGAGACAACACTATTAGTCACGAAAATAACTGTTCAGCCATTACGTTAGCCGTAACAATAGTTGTAATTTTAGATTCTAAGTTTAGCGAAGCATGTATTGGTTTTACAAAGATGTTTTTGTTTTTACACTTTTTATTTTTTATGCGCACACTTTCTCTACCAGAAAGCTTACTCTGATAATCAAGCATAAACCTTTTTTTCAAAAAGGGAATATTCTCTGGGTGGTACTTAAAAGAGGTCATTTTTTTGAATTTCTCATTAATATTCGAGATAATGAAGAAAACCTGGTTCATCAAAAACAAGGTTGTCATTGGCAACCGTTTTTATTTATTTATTGTCATTTTTAAGTTTTTTATTATTTTATGAATGTTTTTAAACAATCATTGTTGTCATAGGAACGCACATTGTTGTAATCGTTTTACAATAACATGACATATATATACATATATTTGACGAAACAATGTTATCAACTGAACTCCGCTCAGAATGGTTTTTCCGTTATCGGAGTTATACCGTTGTTTACAGTTATAAATTAAATTCCCGTCTGTATCCCACCTCCTCAACTTCCCATCTGCAACAGTGGCCGCAGCCACGCGCGACGTACGTCCGTCCTTTGTATTTAATATCCCCCACCCAATACACCCAATACATTATTGACGCAAAATACTCTAATCAGACGTTACCGAAGAGTAAACCGTTTAAACAACGTATCGCGAACGTCCGGTAAAACTGCGGAAACCGATTCGATATAATCGCGGTATAACCGACGGATACGTCGACGTTTCGGATTATTAATAACTCGTCGTCGGTCGTTATTTTTATCAACGAAACACGTTTTCCCCGCGCCTCTCTCGTTCGCTCGCTGTGCGTAATCGCTGGCGCGCGGGAAAAACGTCCCTCGTATTCAAAACGACGGCGTCGGCTGACGAACGTCACGGCACGGCGCGGTAAATCAAGACTGTAATTACGCCGGCGATGTGCATACCTGTACGTGTACACGTGCACGATAATAAAATAACGCGACAGGTACGTCGTTAGATCGTTAGCGTCGTCTCCCCTTCAAAGCTGCGGAGAGGCGCGATCGCGGGCGAACATTTGTACACGGTCAGCGGGGCCGGGGGTGGGGCGGTAAATCCCGATTCCGGAACCTTGTGATGTCGGTTGGTTTTTTTTGTTTTGTTTTTTTTTTTTTTCATTTCCTTTATTCCTTTCTTCTCGTATACGCCGTATACACTCGTCTTCCGGTAGCACTGTAACCGTCTTCGCGCCGCGGTATATACCTACTACTACTACTACTCTATACTTGTGTACATATATATATATATATTAATATATAGAAAACGTCCGCGAAAGAGACGCGCGGAGAGGGATAGAGGTAGACGGAACAACGCCGGTTAATAACGAAGGTCTTACGCACGAAACGAGGGTTTAATAATTCCACTGCGATCAACGTCGTCGTGACCTCCTAAATTGAATCTCGCCGGGAACGCAATATACGCGATGACGTTTTTCCATCCCCCGCCGCCCATAGTGCGGCCCACGCTCGTACATAATAACATTATAAATAATACGGCCGAGTCCCGCTCGCCGCGGCGCCCCCCCCGGTCTCGGTGTCGTACACCATTGCGCGTACGCGTCGGTACTGCAAAGACGGTCGCGCGTCCCGCGCGCGCGGAGAGCGGACGGAGCGAACGATCCGCGACACAAGGGTCTCGTGACGTCGCCGCCGCCGCCGTCTTCGTCTCGTCCGGGCCACTCCCCGCCGAACTTGCGCGGGTCGAAGACGCGCGCGTTTCGCGGCGGCGGGAGCACGCGGGCGTGTATTTGATCGCGCGCGCCGGAGAAGACGCGCGTAGGAGACCGCGCGGACGTCGGCGCGCGGAAGAAGGCGGCGAGCGGGAGAGAACGCGACGAGATGTGCTCCGCCGGGTACCTACGCGCGCGGCCGTATGCTTGCGTATACGTTTTCCGCTATTATATGCGACTGCCGCGTGTACGTAATTTATCTCCGGGTACCCGATTGGCGGACACTGTGACGCCGGAAACGCCCCGTACCCGAACGAAAGCTCTAATGATGGCGGCAATAAGGCTTTCGCTCTCTACCCCCACCCCCTTCCCCCCCGCCTGCTCCACTCCGCTGCCCCTTCCCTCCCGTCAATTCCGCCGCCCGACTTCTCCACCCCCCTCTCCCTCCCTTACCGTCCGCCTCGTCGTCGCCGCGGCCTTTTCGCCGCTCGCGCAAGCCGTACACGCGCTATACACGTATATTATACGCGCACGGGTTTCACGAGAAAAGCTCGATAAAAGCTCCTTGTCCGATTCCCCGCGGATTACCGCACGACAACGGTGTGTACACGTATAATATACGCGCGCGCGTGTGTCGGCATGTACCGGCTCCGGCTGCGCTTCGCAACGGAAAAACTGCATGCGCGCACAAGGGTACTAAATAGATTTTTCCTGTCCCGGCCGTTCGCCGCACGGGCTGCGTAATAAACGATCGCGTCCTCCGCACGATACGTTTGACCGTAATAGTATACAATGAAAAGAGATTGCGCGTGCGTGGGTACTCCGGTCAAATTCCCATTCGTGAGATTCCCGCGAACGACAAAAATAAAAACGGAAAACTGCAAAAAGGCTGTGTCCTAGAATAACGGGGACGGGTGCACGGCCACAGTTTGTTATATAGGTAATTTAATATATATATATATCTATCAGTAAGTAACGGTTAACCATTTACTGGCGAAAAAAACGATTCTAAGCGGTGCTCGGTCGACAGTGTTGTTGCTTTGTCAACGGCATAAATATCATATCACGGTAAAACAATGGCATACACGCATGAAATATTCTCTTTGCTTGTTTCATATTGTACGTATAATATTTTTCCTACGGTTTTCGCCGGTTTCCGCCGATGGTGGATTCATTTGTGGGGGGGGGCGACGTGGTTATAATTAAACTAAAGCCACATGTGCATCTTCACAAATCATGAACTCGTAACTATAACTTCGAGCACAATTTATAAATCGATATTGAGACTTTATGATGTGGTTTTCCGGTATCATTTGATTACCTTATTGTCAATACCAATTATCGAATTAAAATAACACAACGATCAATCGTTCAAAACAAATTAATTATGACCGCAGTAAGTTGTAGTAAACAAAGGTTATAGTTATTGACTATAGATACTAACAGATAAAATCATCTATAATATCAATCTGTAATCTTTAAATTTTTATGAAATACCTATTACGTTTACTTTGTAGATATTGAAATATTTAATTTTGTAAACTTGCCCTCGGCAGCATTAGAAAAATACAGTCAAATTTGTAGATATACAAAGACAAATGTGGGGAATGAGATGTTAAAAATGTTTCATCTAAAAACGTCTAGGTGTTAAGTACTATTGAACTAGGTACGTGGCCCGTGTCGGTAAAAATCAAAACCAATAGAAGCGGTTATGCAAAACTATAGTTACCGAAATAACGTTTCACACAAACGAAAATCTAACTAAAATCCCTAGGAAGATTAGGCGTGCGTTCTCCTCGTAAAACGTATCCTGATCACGATAATCGTGCGCACGTCCGTACCACTGTTATATTAATCTGAGTTTGGTGAAATTGCAAAAAAAAAAAAAAAAAAAAAAAACTATGGAAAATCAAATTTTCGGTACACCGTGTTTTCGATTGATTTTTTGATTTTACATTCAGACGAAAGTGCTTTCAGAACATTTTCGATTATTAACTATAAAAATCTATAATATTCTGATCTGGAAAAAATACCGCGGGGGTTAAGACAAGAGAACGTTTAAAAATCCATATTATTGGATTTACCCCTCCCCCTAAATTTATCGTTATCCGGTTTATTCGCTGCAGTATTCAATGGATTCGGTTGGACGATATAGTAACCAATATTATTATAATACGCATTACGTATGTAGCACGAAACGCGCGATTGTGTACAATGCTGAAAACACACGCTGAACGGACTCTTAAACATGTTTCCAGAGTAACATAGTGGACTTTTTTTTTCTACGGTACCCAACTCTTCTTCGAGTATAATGATACGTATTTTAATTATTCAGTATGCGACGTAAATATAGCGCGTATATAATGTTATAAAGAAAAAACGAATTACACGACGCGTAAATCCTGAAACTAAATCACTGGAATTACCAACAGCCATATTATAAAAAAAAAAAACTCACAATATGGTTTTTTTAAACAATAAGCTGTTGGCACGAACTTTAGTAGTTTTTTACGCGCGTTACATCCGGCTTAACATATATATATATTTTTTTCAAACAACCGCAGAAAAAATTATACTAGAAAATATAAACAACATAATAAAAAAAAATCTCGGTTTCGCTTCGTTTCATTTCGCTTTATTAAAATTCTGTACATCACAATTCTATTCGCATCGAAGTAGGTACATGGACATTTGTTTTAAACTTCGGAATGTTAATAATTTTTTCTATATTCTCACACGTTTGTTTGAATTTTCTTATTATTCTTCTACAATTTAATAAATTGTAGAAGTATATTAAGTTATTTTAATAAATTTTTTTTTTTTTTTTTTTTTATTGAACAAAAAGAAACATCGGCTACGAGTCCATTAGTTATAATAGTACATTAATTTAAATTAATTAAATATATTACATTTTGTATAAAAATTCTTAAATTAGGTTGTACAGTTTGGTACCCTTTAAAATGTTGACTATGTTGGTATTAACTGCACGAAATGTGAGTACATATATTGTTTTAGATTCTGAGTTAAGCGACGAAGCTTATGGTTTTACAATGATGTTTATTACTATTTTTGTTATCTGTGAACCACTTTTCTACCAACAATTTTTCTCTGATTTACAATGATATCACTTTTTCTGAAAGGAAATCAGACTTGGGAGGTACTTTAACAAGGTAATTTTTTTGATTTTCCCATGGGTTTTCCATTCGTGAACATAATCTAAGAGTTCAGCCAGCTAAATGTGAATTTTTAAGAAAAGAGGTAACGTACCTAGGACACGTTATAACAGAAAATGGAGTCCGTCCTGACGAGAGGAAAATAGAAAGCGTAGTAAACTTTCCATTACCAAAAAATCAGAGAGAGTTAAAAGGGTTTTTAGGTTTAACAGGATTCTATAGGAAATTTATTCAAAATTACAGTTTATACCGTACGCGATGTATACATATAATACTTCCGTGCATACGAGCACAAACTATACGCCGTTTGAATTAATTTTTGGGTACGCGCCAAAAATCCCGAGTTCTTTCTCGAAACCAATTNCAAAAAATCAGAGAGAGTTAAAAGGGTTTTTAGGTTTAACAGGATTTTATAGGAAATTTATTCAAAATTACAGTCAGATAGCAAAACCATTGACTTCCTTATTAAAAAAGGATGTACTATTTTTATGGGTCGACGTGTGTCAAAAAGCATTTGATACATTGAAAAAAGGACTGACAAACGAACCTATACTACAATATCCAAATTTTGAGGAAATTTTTATTTTAACTTGCGATGCGTCAGGCCAAGCCGTTGGTTCGGTACTGTCACAAATAAGTGTTGGGAGGGATCTTCCTATTGCTTATGCGTCACGTGTATTAAATGCCGCAGAACAACGGTATAGTACTACAGAAAGAGAGTGTTTAGCAATAGTATGGAGCGTAAAACATTTTCGACCTTATTTATGGGGTAAGAAATTTCAAATAATAACCGATCATAAACCACTTACTTGGTTACTTAATGTCAAAGACCCGGGGTCGCGGTTAATTCGTTGGAGATTAAAATTAGAAGAATATGAATACGAAATAGTATATAAAAAAGGAACGGAAAACCAAAATGCCGATGCCTTAAGTAGAATAATGGTAGCAATTAGTAATTCAGGAATAACTTATGAAGATTTTAGTCAAGAATTAGTTACAAAAAAAATCGCGAACAAAAATGTAGAAAAGGTACAAGGAACACTATTGAAATCAAGCGAAGATTATTATGTGAGTTTACCAGTGACAAGAGATCTTTCAATTATAGGGAAACTAGCAATGGACTTGTTATACTTAGCAAAAGGTTTTGATATTCACAAAGAAAAAGAAAAAAATACATGAAATAGGTCAGGTTATAAAAATAAGTAGTAAACCAGACAGAGAAATATTTTTATTTATAATTTCAGAAAAATATCCAATAGTACCGACTTACGAACAATTATTTGAAATATTATAAAAAGTGAAAACATTTTGTATTGAACACGATATAGAAAAATCAGCGATTCCTCGGATAGATTACGAGACATGTAATTTGAATTTCGAAATAGTAACGTCGATGATAAAAATGATTTTTCAAGGCGTATTTATAAAAATACGCATTTTTTTTAGATAATACAGATTATAACCAAACATTTTCAGAGGAGGAGAAATTACAGATTATTAGAGAATTTCATGAGAAAAAATTGGGTGGACATCTAGGAGTTATCCGCACAGTAAAACGGGTAAAATTAAATTTTAACTGGGGAGGTTTAAAGAAGGACGTAAAAATATATATAAAGTGTTGCGAAAAATGTCAGAATAATAAAGAAATCAATAAAAATATAAAACAACCTTTAATAATTACGTCGACGGCAATTAGGCCATTTGAAAAAGTATTTATGGACATAGTGGGACCATTACTGAAAACTGAAAATGGGAAAGAATATCTTTTGACGGTTCAAGATGACTTATTAAAATTTAGTTTAGCGGTGCCTTTACAAGCGACCGACGCAAATACGGTAGCTAAAAATTTCGTAGAACATATTGTATGTACCTATGGGATACCAGACGCCATATTAACAGACCAAGGGCAGAATTTTATGAGCAAAGTGTTCACGAATACGAACAAATATTTGCAGTAAAATCAAATATTGAAATGTATAACAATACATTTTTTAATATAAATAAAGAAAAAATATTACTAAATGAAAATTTTAAGAAAATAAAGAATCAATTAAAAAATACGAATAGCTTAATAGTAGATATAGAACTAGAGCAATTTATAGAACAACAAGTAATACTGTTCAACTTAATGTTAAGTCAAGTATTATTTGAAGTAGATTTACTGGGGGAAATTGTGACAGCAGCACAAGGGGGTGTCATTCATTCAAGTGTACTGACTCCGAAAGACATTTTAGAGCAGTTAAATAAAATTGAAGAAGACTTACCAAAACATAGAGCACTACCAGTTCCATTAGACATAATAGGGGCTCGTAGGCTTTTGAGCATAGCAGATGTAGTGTGCATGTTTAAAAATAAAACCTTGATATTTTTAATTAGAACACCATTAGTTGATGATTTCGAATTTACTTTGTATAATTTAATTCCGTTACCAGTAAAAGTTAACAGCAATCCATTACATATGTATGTTAATCCAAAGATGGATTACTTAGCTGTGAGTAAAGATTATGAGAGCTATATTTCATATAGAGCACGGGAATTAGATAAATGCAAGCAAACGTCCGATTATAAATTATGTAGAGGGGAGCAAATAATATATAATAGACATGAAAAAGCAATATGTGCGATAAAATTAATATTAGGAACAACAGAAATGCCAAAAATGTGTCATGTGAGGTACACTACGTTAATAGAAAATATATTTCACAAATTAAAATCTAAGAATACGTGGGTGTACTCAGTTACGCAAGAACATATTGTATTAGATTGTGAAAAGGAGAAAACGAGTGCTAAGTTCGCACTTGTGACAAGTTCGCACGTTGACAGGGACAGGTTCGATATCGATAAGGGATGATTGTAGAGCATTTACATCAGACTCAGTACTCATACCAATTAAGCAATTGTCAACCGGTAGAACGGTAGACATAATACCACGGGCAAAGATATCAAACACAATAATACCTATGAAAGATCGTACTAAGTTGGAAGATCTTAAATTAGGAAATTTATCACAAAATGAATATGAAAATTTGACGGATGTAACACGGTCGTTAGACGAGGTAAATGATTTAATGGATATAGAAATCAGATATAAAGAAGGAGAAATTGTAAAAACGTTATATTATTATTCATATTATATAATTTCGGTAGTGGCAATAATTTGTTTATGTTCATTGTATAAATATTGTAAAAATAACAATATGCGTGCAATCGATAGACGAGAATTAGTACCGTTAAGCACTGGAATTTAAGTAACTGATAAATATCGTATGAAAAATTGTAAGGGCGAAAGACCGTTCTTATTGAAAGCATGATCCTTCGTCTGGTAGGGGAGGTGTTAAGACCGCCCGGGGGCTAGATGTAATAAAACGTAGTTATTAGTATTCTATTTGTATCCAGAAGATCTCAGTTACATTTTATACATTACCGGTTGTGTCATAAATAATTAATTAATAGTGGAGTTTGTAATAACGAAAAGTAGCACAGATACATACTTAGAATAGCAATTGTCTTAATTAAAGGCTCGTTTTCGGTATGTAGAGAGCACGCGAGGGACACTAGTGAACCAGTCGTAACCAAATGCGAGACAAGTACTTATGTATATGTCACGTCTGCGCTGCGAATAATAAACTCTGAGTCTAGAACAATTGTGTTTATTTTCTTAAGTTGAAATCCGAATCCTTAAAACTCGTTCTGAGTCTACTCGGCTCATGACACTGTAATGGTAGGCAATATTCATGTCAGGGGCCGCCTAACGATATTGTCCTCCGGCCATTTACCCGTTGACTTCCTCTCATCGCCGGAACGCCGCCGCCACAATCGGAGTTTCTTTTTTTATAACACGCCGAATAGTTGTGTATTATAAATGGAAATCTGATGAAAATGAAATGAAATACACGTTATCTGTGTATTGATATTTGCGTAGTTATGAATGTTCCGCCGTATCTCGTGTCAGTAATTATATTACCGTTTCGTATTATCAGCGTCGAGCCTATCGTATTGGTTTTGTTCTCGAGCGCTGCAGTCAGAGTACTTCGAGTGCTCGGGGACTTGTACGTACGACACGACCACGCGAAACGAGCCAGTACCGTTGCGTAACACCGAATTATATTATCGCTTATCGTTTCGCATTCGCATTCTCGAAAACGATTTCAATAACGCCACAGATAAGATACGGCTACGCGCCGTATCTACGACTGGGGGGCGCGTCCGGATGCGGTTTTTGCGTTCGGCAATAACGTTTGACGGTGATTTTCCGCGTTTCGCGTTTGTTCAATCGTCAATTCAATATGAAATCGATCGCTGGAGTGTTGCGTTTCCGGTATAGTACAGGCCGGCCCGAACGCTTGTGCGGCACCCGTACGGATCGTACGACGGCGGACCGCTGCGTTCCGGGTCGACCCACGCGGGGACTCCGTTACGCGTCTTTTTCTTTTTTTTTCTCTCTCTCTCTTCTAATCGTGTAATAACGACGACCGCACTTCGGCGGGGAGTTCGGAACCGCATAAATCCGTGCGCGCTACGGCCCGCGGTATGAGTATTTTATCGGGTTTATACCTAACCCGCGGTAAACAAGTAGGTAGCCGAGGCGTAAAACGATAACGCGTCCGGTAATAATATTATTGTTACGGCCGCCGAGGACGGACGGCGTGCACGAACGTTATACGGCCGTATTATTTTACACCGTCGCACCGTCGGACTGTCTAAATCCCGTCGGTATTCCCGTACGTTTTTTTTTTTTTATAAGTACACTAAGTTTGATATATTTGTCCGGTGTGCGCACGCCGCAGTCGACGGCGTTGTTAATAGCCGCGAGTTTAGCGAACGAATACGCTTTTGTCCGGCGTTTTTTTATTGAGAAAAAAAAAATAAAACAAATAAAAAATAAGGGGGATCGTAATGCCGCGCGCGCGTTTGCGTGCGTGTGTGACGGGAATCGTAAACGTGTGCCGGGGAACCTGTTGCGCCCGCCGCCGTCCCGACGGCACAAAAACCGAAACGACGCGACGGGCTTATTCACGCCGTCTGTGGATCGCGCCCGTTTTCGAACGGCGATCGCGGTCGACTTGATTCCGGTCGTCATCTCGCCCCGTACGCGCGCGCGCCTCACCGAATTACGTTACGGGGAGGGGGGGGGGTGTCCCGCGGCCGGTAAACCGGCAGTTATTATCCCCGCCCCCCTCCACCCACCCACCCCGCGATATCGCATTACAATATCGTACGTCGGTTTACCGTGGCCCGCGCCCGGACGTGGCCGAATGTCGCCGGCGGACGTGCGACGCGGGAAGACGCGACGGCGTTTCACGGCTTTTAACGCCGTGTGCATACCGCACAGCCGAAAACGGACTGCGTCCGCGCAGTGTGGACGTCTACGGCGGTTCGCGTCTCAACGCGAAGACGTTTCTCGACGGGCGGACGAACAAATTTGCTATCCGGGTCGTCCGTGCGTTATGGCCGCCCGATGGTGTTTGGCCCGTTGTCGGCGTAATTTTCGACAGTTCGTACGTACGTACGTCGTTGTTGTCTTCATCTGCCGGATTGCCACGGAGATAAAAAAAAAAAAAACCGTCGTCAAATCGTATTTAAAGACATGATTAATAGTTATTGATACAGGCCGGCGGTGTCGGCGTGACTGAGGCCGCGAACGTGACCGACGCGCCGGGTTTATTTTTCTACATTTCAAAGATTTTAACGGTTGAAAATCGATTTTAATTTTTAATTTAACGCTGGGGTTCTTGTTTATAGGAACAGTTGTGATTGACGTAATTAAAGAGAAAATAATTGGATCGCATGACTAACAGTGAATGATCCTCCCGACGGGGCACTTCGAATTTGTCGAGTTTAATTACCGACATGCCTGTTGTCGTGATCCCGTGAATTCGTGGTACGATAAGTACCTGCCTAATGAACACACTACTATAAATAGTATTATGTAGTGGGTACTTATTGAGTACTGCCTGCGTCAAAAACAATATTATATATGTTGGCGTTCATTGTTTTTATTATTCTTTATTATATTTCCGATGTATTTTATATTCTAAGTGGCGCCAAGGAGCTTATGGTTTTACAATGATATTTATTTATTTATTGAGCTGTTTTATCTGCGAACGACTTTTATATCAGAAAATTGTTTCGATTTATAAGTGTAGCACTTTTCACGAAACGAAATCCGACCGGAGTGGTACTTTGACTGAAGACTGAAGATTTTTTTAGTTTTCTCAGGAGTTTTACCGGTAAATGAGAAAAATCGGCAAAAACACGGAAAAACCGAGAGAACAGGAAAATTGGAACAATACAAAACAAACATTATTAAATATAATGTTTAATGCATATGCAAATGTTTGATCGTGGGCTTCCCTCAATGTATTCTTATTCTGGGATTTCACCAACACACGATAAGGTTCACTTAAACCTGCCACAAATACTGTTGATGCCTGTCTTTTAATCATTTTATTAATTACTGCTTCTTCAGCTTTCTTTGTATTCTCCAATAACAGTGCTTATATTAATTGAAAACAGAGCGCCTCCACTTTTTCACAGTATACTTTTATTCCTTCATTCGCTAACTGCATACACGCCGCTAACTCTAATTGTAATCGCCCTACTGTCTGCTGTACCCCAAAGTCTTCTACTAACACCTCTTTTAACTCCTCGTAACTATCAATATTTTTAAACCTAGTCACTCGACTCGCTCTCCCTGTTAATTTCGCCAATATCCCCTCTAATACCAATGGTTTAAACGTTTCCACTATATTATGGTCCACGCTCCCGTAGCCCGGCAAAAGAAAAATACGAGGAACGCAAAGACCGCGCGCGTCGCTCGCGTAACGGATACGCGGCAAACGCTGTGAAAACGATAGACGCGGCGACGGAACCGAAAATCTCCCCGGCCCGCCGGTTCCGCGGGACCGCCGGGATCCGTTCGAGTAGTGCGGCGGCGGAACGTAAACACGCGCCCGCGCCCGTCCGGTGTTACACGTGTAGTCGTCATTGTCGTCGCGGCTATTATTGTAATAGTATCGCCGAGGGCCCGGCGATTTGTCCGCTGCCGGCCGTCGCGTCGCCGATACGTCATTTGACGGGGCGCGCGAAATGAAAACGGCCGCGGTGATAAATAATAACGACAACGACGATGAATCGTGCGGCACAAAAGATCTGCGGCCACTGGGACGCGTCGCATTGTCGGGACGCGGAAACGGCGCGCGGGACGGCCGTGCACGAGACCCGCGCGCCCGTGCGAGATGGCCCCCCCCCCCGCGCGCCGCGCCCCGTCGCACCGCGGTCGTTGTTCGCGGTTGACAATGCCCGCGGTTTTTCACGCGGGCGCAAAAAAAAAAAAACGCGGCTTGACCGCAGCACATCCGTTCCGTCCGGGGACGCGCCCGCGTGTGTACGGCGTCCCCGCGTCAATCGAATGCGGGGCGGGAGGAAAAAAATCGCATTTAATCTTCCGGCTCCGGCACGGTTCGCGGCCGCCGCCCGACGCACCTGCGGCGGAATTTCTCGAACACTCTCACCCCTCCCTCCCCCCCGGCCAAGGCGCGAACGTCGCGAATCTGACGGTTTTTTTTTTTTTTTTTTTTATGTATATACGTCCGCCGTGGTCTTTCAGACGACGCGGACATTACCGCGCGCGCACAATAGAAGAAAAACCGCGGACGTCCCCCGATTGATGGCGAGGAATTACAAAAGAAAATAAACGATAATGTAACGATAATCCACTTACGCGATACACGACGACAATCGATTGTACACTAAACGCGCTTTTCGAAATAACGCGCACGATCAGGTGTGTGTGTGTGTGTGTGTGTGTGTGTGTGTGTGTGGAATATTTTCGAATTTTCTAAAACCAAC